ATCGTGTCTCTCGTTGTATTGCGGCCGTTTGTTTTTCAATGCTCGGCTCAAACGCATCAATTGCGTTCGATACCGATCGCCTGTGATTGTTTCAGTAGGTTTTAACAGCTCATAATACACTACGCCGAGCTGGTGACACCAAATACAGAGAATGACCTTGGAGCCGTGAATATTCGGTTTGGCCGTCGACGTGAAAGCATGGCCGGGAATTCCCCATGATTTTCTGCGCTTGAGGTTATAATGAACCTATTAGTGTTTTCGGCCCGATCGGGTTTGCACCAACCTGGGTTAAATTAATCTTTCCTATTGGTTGACGTCACCCGCTCTACCAATAGGAGAGCACAAAACGCCATTAATCCAACCCAGGTTGGTGCAAACCTAGCCGGTCCGAAAACGCTATATTTTTCGTCCCCAGTCACTATACGATGCAGAAATCCCTTCCGTCTTTGCCTTTCAAGCAGCTGTTCACAAGCAAACAAACGCCGTTCAACATCTCTCGGCTTCAACTCGTACGGCACCCAATTTCCTTGCTTCTGAATCATTCCCATGGCTTTGAGGCGTTTTGAAATGGTTTGTTGAGTCACTCCCAATGATCGTGCCAATTCTTCTTGATTTTGACACGAGTCTTGATCAAGTAATGTCTCCAATTTTGCATCTTAGAAAACCTTCTCTCTTTCACCGCTATGCCGGTCTTCGACGTCAAAATCACCGTTCTTGAAGTGTTGAAACCACTCACGACACGTTCTTTCACTAATAGCGGCCTCACCATAAGTATTTGAGAGCATTCAATGAGCCTCAACCGCAGATTTCTTCATATTGAAGCAAAAAATTAAAACCTCCCGCAAATGACGAGAATTTGGCTCGTAAACTGACATTTTCAATCGAAAATAACTTTATAATGCAGGCACAAATTGACTAATGTTTCTATGGGGTTGTGTAGACAGATGCCCAGGTTTATTGTATGACGTCTATGATCTATTTATTTCGACCACCACTTACCGCTAAAGCAATGTATAGGAAAACGGCGGAAGCAAAGTTGTACACCTCGATACAGATCGATACAGTTGATACAGATTTTTTTTAATTTCAAATTCGATAATAGTGACATCTTTCATTCATTTCTTATACTTATCGTTGTGTCTCGCTCAAACGTATTCATCTGTCCTTATCTAACATACTGCAACGCCATCTCTTAGAAAGAGATCAACTAAAATACTGCTCGGTTTCATGGCTTCATATATCAATTTCACTCGTGATATACAAACAAAATTTTCGGCAACTCTTTTCTCTTATACTAAAGAGCCCCTACCTCGTTTCTAAAAGCATACGATTGTTCTTTCAGGTTTTCTGCAATTCGCCAGCTATTTTTATGAGCATGCAAGATCTGAAACTCTTATATGCAGCATATATTGCGACGTGTCGACTACACAAGCCGATAATAAAACTGTAAGTCTTCAATTTTCTTTCGTGTTTGGTATTTAATTGTAGCTGGCGAATTACGTTGTTGTCGATACTTTAATTCCCCTTAATGTGGTGACATCTTTAATTTAGTTTTTACATTATATTATATAATATATATCATTCTGTCTTACTCAAACGCATACGTCTGTTCTTATCTAACATATGCCAGCACCATCTATCGCAAGACCGCGCAACTACTGCTACGCGGAATTTCGGCTCTGTTGCAGTGTTGCCAGATCGTGGATTTTCTCCCTAGATTTAGGGTTATTTTTTAGGCTTGGGGAGAAATTTAGGGAGACAAAATGTTTAGGGAGAACGTTTAGGGTTATTTTGTAGTTTTGGGGAGAAATTTAGGGAGACAAAATATTTAGTGAATATGTTTAGGGTTTCTGATTACTGTAAAGAAATTTGTTTTCCATGGCGCTGGTTGGCTGCGATGTTTCGTGCCTTGCAGCCTACATTTCCATTCTTGGTGGCCGTACTTGACTCGCGTAGTGGCCGAGTAGCGTTACGCGCGTTCTGGTCGAAAAAAAGACACAGAATTTACGAAAGTTTGCATTTGTGCGTGCATTGCATAATTGTATTAATTGTATTGCCGTTGATGCTTGCCTACGTATATTTTGAAACTCGCCATGTAGTAATGCGGATGTATATACAACTTCTCATCCTCATCAGAGTGTCAGCTATTTTCAATATAACACTACAAAATAAACTAGACAAGTTGGCTACTGCATTTGTATAAAAATAAGGTATGTTATAATGTTCGCTGGAATAGTTTGCTGAGATTGAGCCTACGTAATATATCTTTTTACAGTAGATAAACTTTATAATGTCTATAAATGTAGACGCTCGTGTAAAGTGTGCCAATCTCTAACTGTCGTTACTTTTTACTATTAAAATTTGACAATATGCCACAAACAACTAATCAAAAGCAGTACATACAAAAGTACGTAAAAACTTGGGAAAATGAAATCGAATTCAAAGGTGTGAAGAATTTATTTTGTTATTTAATTTGGCAAAGTTAATTTTAGAAATACAAATTATAATTTATTAATGAATCTTCTAGGTTGGTTGAAACCCTGTATTGGGGACAATACGAAAGCACGCTGTGCTTTTTGTAATATCGATATTTTAGCACATCGAAAATCGTTGAAAACGCATAGCTGCACCAAAAAGCACATTCAAAATGCGAAGAATGATAAGGAATGCTTGCAACTCCATAAAATTGAAAATTTTACAACACCACATATTAATGATCGTCGAAAAATAGCTGAGTTAAAAATAGCTGCCTTTATAGCTGAGCATTGTTCAATAAATGCTATTGATGATTTGGGCAAAATTATAAAAGATTTGGACGCGACTTCTCATGTACTTACAAATATTAAGATTCACCGTACAAAATGTACAGGGTTGATTGTAAATGTCATTTCCCCTTGTTTATTTAAAGAAATGCTTGATGACTTGGGAGAATCTTATTATTCGTTAATTATTGACGAAAGTACAGCGATAGATAACACAAAAGTCTTGTGTACTATGATTCGATTTTTTAGCTTAACTTTAAAGAAAATTCGCACAACATTTTATAAATTAATTCAATTAGAATCTGGAACCGCTGAAAGTATAACCAACTTATTGATAAATCATCTTCAAAATGATGGTTTAAATATAAAACATTTAATTGGTATAGGGGTCGATGGAACGAACAGTATGGTTGGCAAAAATGACTCGGTAGCATCTAGATTAAAACGTATAATTCCTCATTTAGTGGTTATAAAATGTGTTTGTCACTCACTTCATCTGACCGCTGAAAAGTCTTGTGATGTTTTACCAAGAAATTTAGATTACTTAGTTAAAAAGAGTCACACTTGGTTTTCGCATAGTACAAAAAGAATTATCGAATATAGGAAAATATATGAAACTATAAATCAGAATATGCCGAAAAAAATTGCTAAATTATCAGGAACTCGGTGGCTCGCTCGTATAGAAGCCATTAAAACCATTATTGATCAATGGGACGAACTGAAACTACATTTTGAAATGGCTAAAAATTCCAATCGATGCAGTGAAGGATATGTTGCTGAGGAATTATACAACATGTATAAAAATGATGAAAATAAGATTTATTTGATATTTCTACGTGATGCTTTAAAAGATATTACCAACATAAATAAACTTTTTCAGTCTAATGAAATAGAACCACTTAAACTGTTCAAAGATCTTAATCATCTGTTATATTTAATTTTACAAAAAATCGTTGTGCCTAGTCAGTTGGAAAAGGTAAAACATCAAGATTTGACTAATTATAACTTTCAAGATTATCTCATGTTTGTAGATTGTGTGGATTATGGATATTATTTTAATGAATTTTCTTCAAAGATTAATCCTCAAAATTTGAAAGACATTAAAGAAAGGTGCAAAGCATTTTATATCGAATTAGTCAAACAATTACAAAAGCGAATTCCGGAAAATTTGCAAATTTTAGAAAAACTTAGTTATTTCACTTCAGAAAATGCAATGAATAAATCAAGAAATGACATTATAGATATAGTTGTTAGTTTTAAAGAAATTTGTTTGGACATTGAATCTACCGTTAAAGAGTGGAATTCTCTGCATCGTTTCGAAGTAAATACAAATAATTCAGAAGATTATTGGGCTAAAGTAAATAATGAAACAGATGCTGCCGGTGAAAAGCGTTTTGGACACGTCTCAAAATTAGTTCTCGCGCTTCTCTGTCTGCCATTTTCTAACGCTGAAGTCGAGAGAGCATTTTCAATAATGAATATTATCAAAGATAAGCTGCGAAATAGACTAATCATTAGAACATTAGATGCAATCCTCAGAGTGCGATTTTTATTGCCGAATACATGCAGAGACTTTCAACCATCAAGACAAATGTTACAAAAATTTGTAAGTGAGACAGTTTACGGAGGACAAATCGATAACGAAGCTTTAGATGCTCTAGATTATTTTGATATGATTGAAAAATTTACGGCATAAATTTCTTTTTTTGTGATGTAACGTATTCCTCTTTAAAATTATATACCGTGTGCATAACTGTATAAGCGATTAAAGCAATGTAATATATGTATATATGTACATTGTTTATGTATTGTGTATTTAATTTATTATCTGTGTTTATTACTAATTTAAATTTAACAAATACGTCATATAATATTAGCTTGAAATGTTTACCTTCTAAAAATAGATTTAAATATTTCTTATTCCCTTCTCTATATTATACATTAATATGTAAAATTATTAAATTAAATAGAAATTTTTAATGTTCAATTATTTTATTTTGAACATAATATTTGATAATTTTTTATTCACCTCATTGCTGTCGTGTAAATGATCTATTGTTTTTAGCTTAAACTCATCGTTTATAAATAAACAGAAAACGTTTATAATAAAAATTTATTGAAAAACGTCTATAAATAAACGGAATAACATTTAGGGAGAAATCTAGGGTTTTTTTCAGTACTCCTCAGGGAGATTTAGGGAGAATCCGAGACTGTTTTAGGGGGAAGTCGATAAAGGCATCTGGCAACATAATTTAAGTAATAATACTTTTGCAATCCGTACATCCAATACAGAGATTTTTCACCGAATAGAAATGTGGTAAAACAGGGAGCTTTAGCATCGCCTTAACGGAAGTGATAACTGCAGAGAAAAGATTGTAATTTTTCTGCAATATATAGAATATTATAACTTTACAAGTATGCATATTTATTTATGGAACATTTATGTAATAAAAAATCATGAATTTAATAATGTATGAGCCAAATATTTATGTTAATAATAGTAAATTTATATCAATTGTCGATAATGTCAGCGTTCTTCAATTACCTCCGAGCCCTTTTTATATCGCCCAAAATGCCCAGGGTTGACGGTCTGTAATAGTATCTCGTCGGCAATACTCATTTAACTCGTTGCTGCGTATCGATGTAGATTACGTAGACGCAAAAATCTTGTAAGTCGATTGTGTATTTTGAAATAAGATGAAAATGATAAAAATTCACTATTAAGATACCCAGACAGTACAAAATACTAAAAGATAACGAAAAGTTGTCTTTTCGACAAAGCGAAAAGGTATCTAAAAGACGACGAAGACATTGCTTGTTTTTAGATTATCTTTTTAGCAAAACCAAAAGAAGTCTATAAGACATCTTTTAGTTTTGTCGAAAAGACAACATGAAAAAGATATCTTTCCGTTATTTTGGTACTTTTTATCACTCGTTCGCGAGCAATACGCGAGATTGCCACCAGATGGACGTGATGGGGTCCAGTTTCTCGTGTTTGAAAATTATACGGGACAGAATAAAAGGTGCAGCATTATAAGAAATTTTACTCGTGTTCTAATGAACCCTAATCAAATATTCTTTTGTAATCGAATCCCCAAAGGGGACTATGATGAAAGATAATGACTCTTGCATATAGGACACGACAAAGATTGCAGGAAATGGGACGTATATTGTCAGTCATGCAATTTTATTTCGTTTTGTGTAAAAATTAATTTAGGAATTCTATATGTTATTAAACGTTACATGTATCAAAATATAAAAACTAAAAGAAGTATTAAAGACGGATTAAAAGATATCCCAAGAAGTCATCTTTTAGTTATTATATGGGACTATAAAATGATTAGCAGTACGAAATCTGTCGTTTTTAGTCATCTTTTCGTCAACTATGTAGATCATGTAGATCTAGCTTTACGACACAACTCCTTTTAAAACGTGCCTTTAGCCTTAAGCGAAAAAGGTGAAGAATGCATTGCACTTGACGCTCGCAACTGCTCGCAATGCTCATGAAATCGTGTCGTCCTTGTCCGTCAAATGTTAAAAGAAGGAGCGTATACCTATACAGTGAGCCAAGTGGAACGCACCCTTCATTGCTTCAGGTGCCGAGAGTGCCGAGCGAGACTGCCGAGGTGGCGACTGGCGAGATGCGCAGATAGAGAAATGATCCAATGATCGAAGAGACACGTGCGCGCGCATTAGCCGCGCGCCGCGCGGTGGCGCATTATAAATACAACTACTAGCTCTCGCCTCGAGCTGAGTGAAGTTGTCAGTGGAGTCACAGTAGTCGTATGATGGCGCAGTATGTCGGCTGTTCGCGATTCGCGCCGGCAACGATTCTTTTACTCTTCGTTCCCGTTTACGTCGTCCAGCTAGCGAATGCTGGTGTGCCGACACCGATACCGTTGACGACGACGGCGACGGATGTGGTGACAGTCGACGCCGACTACGATGCCGTTCGTCACGACGACGTTCTGCCGCGCGTGGTTCAGCTTACGGTGAATTCGGTGGCGATCATCTCGCAGTTGGCACTGCCATTCGGTGCCAACTCCGCCGACGATCGCCAGGTTCCTCACGTCGAGTTCCTCGGCACCGGTCTCGATCGCGATCTCGCGCTACGATGGTCGCTGTCGAGCCGCGATTGCCCGCACGACGCGGACAACGCTTTGGACGCGGTATGGACATCGTCAACGGGCACTCGCGCAATCTACAGATTCCGGACAGTTCCGGATGCGAAGATTACGGCCGTCTATTTTTGCCTGAGAGACGGCAGCGGCGAAAAATGGAACAACCTCGGAAATCGTATCTCTGTAAAATACCTCGAACGACCTGAGTAAGTATTCTGTGATAGTTTCCTTTCTATTTAAGTATAAGTCTGCGTATCCTCCTCTTCTCTCTTTCTGTTTTTTTATTTTCCTCATTTTCCTCTTTTCTTTTTCTGTATTTTCTTCATTTTTTTTCTTCTTTATCTTCTCCGTTTCTCTTCATCTTTGCATATACATACTTTTTCTTCTTCATTATCTTTTTTATTTTTTTATTCCTTCTTTATCTTCTTTGTTTCATTGTCTTTATTATTTTTTTCTTTGTTATATACTTTGTTTCATTATCTTTATTTTATCTTCACCATATTATTTTCTTTTTCATTTTAATTCGCTTTATTTTTCTCTTTATAACTTCATTTTTCATTTTTTAAATATTTTTTTTCTTTCTTTATTTTGTTTTGTTTTTTTGCGCTTTCTTCATCTTCATTTCCTTCTTCTTTTACTCTTATCATGCACATATCTGTTGTTCCGTTGACTTTTCCTATACTTGTGTATTTTCCGTTAATTTCTTGGGTTAATTCATTTCATTTTCTTTCCACATGATACACAAAAAGCAATTTTTTAAAGTAGCGTTAGGACATATTAAATAATTATCTAAATTAATCACTGAGAGAATATGACTAAGAGTGTCTAAAAACAGACATGAAGTAATAGAAAATATGTAAGTATTTCTCCCTGGGCATTAATATTTTAACAATGATATTAACGATCTTAGGAAACTCTTTCTAATTAAGATTATTACAAACTTGATGCATTGAATTGCACAATTTTCAAATAATTATTAAATATATATGTAAATATATATATATATATATATATAGAGAGAGAGAGAGAGAGGAAAGGTCCCTATTATAAGATACCGAGTTTATTTTGGGTAAATGCTAGAAATCTATGGACAGAATTTTAAAAAATAATAGGTCATTTTGAAGGGAATTTAATAAGTTTTAAGATAACGTTACATAAAATTTAATTCAAATTCAATTTTTTTTTAATTAAAGAAATATAAAAAGTGAACAAATCACAAAATCAAAAAATTGTGCTCCTAACATGAGATGTCCCGAGAAATCGATAATAAAACGCAAAGTACATCAGTATTGTAATTAAAAAACTTGATTTAATGTTTCTAAAATACAAATAAACACAGCCAGTGCACGTGCAAAATGAGTATACGATGCATTGTACCTAGCTGACTCGTTTTCAGGTAGTTGGAACCAAGCATCGCAGAAACAGGCACTCGATAATTATTTCGATTGTCCTCTTTATTATTGTACAATAACTTTATACTTCAACAACGATTTTCACTATGCATAGGAGCATTTCATATTAGAAATACCCTGGGTATCTCATATTACGATTTCCACACCTTACGGTTTTACGATCATCAAATCTAACTTCTGTAATTAAGCAATTCAACATATCACGTATTTTTCTATTAGTACGATCTTACTCTATCACCACATGAAGAATTTATTGTCAAATATTTACTTATTAAATAATAAACAAGGTTTAAAAGCTTATCTCAACGAAATTTGAAGACATTCAAATTCTAAAAACTTTTTTGCAACTACAGATACGATCTAATAATGAATTTTCCACTGAATAGTTTTCAATCCAAGAACAATAAATTCATGGTGGAACCAATATAGATAGCATTTATTAGTTTAGCAAAAACGCCGCTATCTCGTATTAGACGCCTATCTCATAATAGAGGGCTCTGTCCTCTATATATACAATATAATATATATTATACATATTAGTTATATATACAAATTAATAATTAACTATTTAACTCAGACTAACAAACTGGTATGGAACTATTGCGTTTAAACGAGAATAAAAAGCACATCTAATAAGAAATGAGAAGGGGAGAAAAAAAACTTTTGCGAGTAAAGTATTGACGGATTTTTGTAACAGCCAAAATAATACTGATATTTGTAAGAATCTAATTTTAAGTCTTAAATTATGTTATAATTATGCGTAACGCATTTAATTATTCTAATACTGAAGAAGGTCTCATTGAAGACCGAAACGTCTATTAATTGTACTTTATCAAATATAATAATTTTAAGCCAACGATATCAGGCGTTCGTGGTCATATGCCTTTATAATTATATTATTGAATTAACTATTTTTTATTAAATTCAATATTTATTTTTGAAACATATTGACATAGTTCAGTCACGAAAGTAATCCTTATAATTTTTTTATTATTTTCCTCCATCTTTTTTAGGCAAGATTCCGATTCGATAGAAAAACTAATCTTTACTTGCGATGAATTCATCAAACCATATTTTCTTACTTCAACAACATTTCTAAATTTTTTGCCAGACTAAGGCCCAGTTTCACAATTCACGATTAACTCGTAACCGAGGTTCAACTT